TTCAGTTTGGTGCCTGACTCTAGAGGACGCACATAGGGGAGACTCTTGAGCAGTGCATTAATCACAGCATCTTATATCATTTATAGATTCATAGCTTTTGGTCATTTGGGGGTGTTTAACAGTGCAACGGACCCAGTGAGCTGACCAGGACTTGGCCTAACCTGGGAGGTTGTGACTGGTCTGGATTTTCAGAGGCTCAGATCTTAACTTGATGAAAACTTTTCAATCATTCTTTTTATTTTCTACTCTGTTTATTTGGCAAGCCTAGCGTAGCCACCTCTCTGACTGATTGCATCAAGTTAGGGAATATCTGGACCACAGCCAATGGTGGGTGGGGGGTTCGGGCCCGTGAGCCACATATTTCTGACCCAAGTTACACATTGTGTCTAATGAGCTGCAATTCTTTCATTAAATCCACGTTGCCGGCGTAAGTCCTGTCATTGTACGCCGACTACAGCTGACTGCTGTTAGTTTTACTTCTGGAGCAGCTCGCTGCTGTCAGGCTGCAGGGACAGTTTAGTGGCATGCAATTTTGCCCCTGACCCGCTCCGGACCGGACCATGGACTCGTTAGGTGTCAATGTGATCCAATAAGATTTATATTTTAGTACCTCTGCTTTAGTGTCTTTTGTTGAACCACAAGGACACTTTCAGCGTCGCTGACTTTTTGTTTTCCAAACCGGTTTCTAGATCCAGGCTCCTCGAGAGTGGGTCGCTGCTGCTGCTCTCATAAAACAGCGAGAGAAGCATCTCCTGCTTGTTTGTTCACTTGTTCATAGCCTTTGTTGTGGCACATTAAGATTTGTATTTCAGAGAATCTCTGTGTGTCTATTGTTGGAGAACAGGAATACAAATTTGTTACGACGCTTTTTTTTTTCTTCGAACAGCTGGTCGCACCTTTGGGAAATTTGGTCGCATTTGCAACCAAATTGGTTGAATTCTAGAGCCCTGCCTCCTTTTTGAATATTGTCTTTATGACCTCCTCTTTGAATATTCTCTTTATGAAGAGCAGCAACATGGGGTCTCAGAGCAACTCTCACTGACCTGAAAACAAAGATTGTTCACCTTCATGGTTTAGGGAAAGGAAACAGAAAACTGTCTCAGAGATTTCAGCTGTCTGTTTCCACAGTTAGGAACATATTGAGGAAATGGAAGACCACAGGCACAGTTCAAGTTAAGGCTTAAAGTGGCAGACCAAGAAAATTTTCAGATAAACAGAAGTGAAGAATCGCGAGAACAGTCAGAGTCACCCACAGACCAGCACCAAAGACCTACAACATCATCTTGCTGCAGATGGAGTCATTGTGCATCATTCAACTATTCGGTGCACTTTACACAAGTAAATGCTGTATGTGAGAGTGCTGCTTGAGGTATGCTAAAGCACATCTGGACAAGCCAGCTTCATTCTGGAATAAGGTGCTGTGGACTGATGAAACTGACTCATTTGGGCATTACAAGGGGCGTTATAGATGGAAGAAAGAGAACACAGCATGCCAAGAAAAACACCTGCTACCTACAGTAAAACATGGTGGTGGTTCCATCATGCTGTGGGTTGAGTGGCCACTGCAGGTATTGGGAGTCTTGTTAAAGTTGAGGGACGCATGGATTCCACTCAGTATCAGCAGATCCTGGAGACCAATGTCCAGGAATCGGTGACAAAGCTGATGCTGCACAGGGGCAATCAATGATGAACAAGTCTGCTTCTAAACCTGCAGAAAAGGGACACACAACAATACAACGGGAGCAAGCTATCACTGTGTCAACTTGATGAAGAAATATATAATCAACATTGTTTTATTGAACCATCACATGGTAATAAATCACAGTGCATTTAGTGCCAACCACAGCCTTTAGACATGTGTTGAATGTGTCCAAGTCTTATGAGAGCACCATGTGAGCATCTGTGTGTACATGCACTTGTATATGTAAGGTTTTTCTATAGGAGCGTCCAATAGAGAGTGTGAGGGGCCACAGATCTGCCTCCCAAAGATGCGTAGGAGATGGAGGGAGCTCCAAGTCCCAGAGATCCAGGAGCTGCCCCAGAGCACCGGGACCCCAGGGAGACTGCGACCAGAAAAGCCCCTGCCCCCCTCGAGAGGCGCAGAGGATTGTCACGGGGGGCTACAACCAGCAGCCGGCAGAGTCCCGGGAGATATCAGCGGCAAGCCCACAGGCCCGCCCGCAGCCTCCCACCCCCTAGCCGGCCGAGCCCGGAACCCAGCGACCCAGTACCCAGGGGCAACCACCCCCGCCGGGGATCCAGCAGAGCCCAGGGACCCAGATCCCACCAGGCAGCCACCGGGATTGATCAGGCAGACGCCAAAAATCTTAAACCCCCTGACCCGGGAGCCACGAACACTCAGGCAAACCAAGACACCGCACTCCACACCAGGTGTAGCAGGGGGAGGGGAAACTAAGATGTATCACATCAAAAGAAGTCCCAGGAGAGGGGAGGAGTCAAAGGCCCTACCTGACATATACAGTCATACACAGACAAAGTCACACACTCCTTCCCTCATGCTCACACATACACATACAACCAAAGACTTACAAAAATGCATGCCGGACGCTCACTCATGCTCCCCATACACACCCTATTCACTCTGGTCCCAGTACTGCTGCACAAGGGGTACAACCATTACCGGTTCCCAGAGTTCTACCCTTTCTGCTGGGGTGCTGATGAGCAGGCTCCCTCGCCCAACGCTGAGCAAAGCAACCCACCACCCCCAGACCCCAAGCAGATGGCCAAATTAAGGAATCTACATGAGTTTGTGGATGACTGTCTACCCTTAATGAAACCAGTTCAGTCAGGGTGTATTATGAAAGGGGTTACCTTCTCTAATCTTTTTACCAGGGCGTTACAAATTATTTTGAGATCAACATTAATAAGAGAAATTGGGTGATAGCTGGTAGGAAATGCAGGGTCTTTGCCTGGTTTTAACAAGAGACTAATATTGGCTGAATTCATGTTTGGCTGTAATCTGCCCCTCTCTTCGATTTCCCTCACCATTCTGAAGAATGTTGGAGCCAGAATGATCCAGATTTCTTTGTAGAACTCTGCTGGAAACCCGTCTGGACCCAGAGCCTTCCTATTAGGCATGGATTTAAGGGCTACCTAGAGCTCAGCTGATGTTAGTGGCGAGACCGGGACTGTAGCTTGGCTGTCTGATAATTTAGGAAGCGTTATCCTGTCAAGGAACCCATTGATCTTGTTATCTGATGGGTTTATCTTTGGTGAGTACAAAGTTTGGTAAAAGTCTCTGAAAGTGTTTATTCTTTCAGGATCATATACTATATTCCCGGCTGAGTCTTTAACAGCAGAAATGGTAGTTTTCTCTTTATTTATTTTTAACTAGTTAGCTAAAAAATTACCTGATTTATTACTATGTTCAAAGTTTTCTATTCGTAGTCTTTATGCTAAAAATTGTGTCTTTTTGTCAATAATTCCATGAAGTTGTAATTTAGCTTTACGTAATTTGCTCAGTAACTCTTCTTCTGTGGATGCCTCTCTTCTAACTCCTGAATACGTTTGTTTTCTGTTTTTTTTTTTATGTGATGAGAAAGAGATTATTTTACCTTTCATCACTGCCTTTCCTGCCTCCCAGAGAAAAGATGCTGATGTCCCAGGCTAAATATAAAGCCTACTCCTTTTAAAAAAATTCTATGAAATCTTTGTCTTTAAGCAGTGATGTATTAAACCTCCAGTTTTTGCTTGGTGCGATTATCTTATTTACCAGAGTTAAAGAACCTGGAGCATGGTCGCTAACAACTATACGGTGTATCTCAGTATCTGAATGTTCAGCCAACAATGAGCTGCTGACTAGAAAATAATCCAAACGTGAATGAGAGTGATGGACATGTGAGAAAAAAGTATACTCTCTACGGTTAGGATGAAGAGATCGCCATGCATCACAAAGCCCATAATCACTCATGTACTGTTTAACTATGTTAGTGGATTGCTAATTGCGCTGAGTCTCTGCTGAACTGAGCCTGTCTGTTAAAGTGTCCATCCAAAAATTACAATCGCCTCCAAGTATAAGTGGACAGTCCAAGTGTTCAGAGAGTACAGAGAAAAATTATGAAAGAATGAAGTGTCATCAATATTTGAACAGTATATGCTGACGATACATAAGCTGTGGTTCAGTACAGATATTTTTAACATTATAAATCTACCCTCTGGATCAGAAACTGTGTCCAATACTGTGAAATTTATATTTTTGTGTATTAAAATAGCTACACCGCTTTGCCTAGAGTTATAGCAGGCAGAGAACATGCTGGGAAACTCAGGTGTTTTCCTACCTTTTAAAGGGGGTGTACTCATTTATGCTGAGCACTGTTTATTAAACTGAATCTTTTAATCATAATAACCAATGATCTATAAAGGATGATCACACAACAAGGCTGCCTAAACTTTCGTATTCCAATGTATTACTATTAGCACTATTGAGAAGGATTCTTCGATGAAATCTAAGTTATTTTGCAACCTGTTCCTTCAATACTGAAGTAAGATGATTAGATCTGATGCCTCCTGCCTCCTCTTGTGTGGATCTTAGTATTACACAGCTGCAGCTCCGGACACCACTGATTCACGCTGTTCGAATCATGTCGGGGGAATTAGTGGCTGCCTAAACTCACTGCCAGAGTCTACAGTTAAAGGGGGAGGAGGGATCTGAACTCATGACTACCTAGATGGGGGTGATGGGGAGGCTAAAACCCCATCCAGGCTTCTGCAAATTTTCAGCTAAATTTAGCTGAACTAAAGGGAAGAAGCAGCTGAGACAGGCAAAAGAATGAGTTTAGCCAAAAACCACTTTGAGGTGTTTTTCATCAGGAAATAATAATAGAAAATGGTCATGAGCTCCAAAAAGTGAACTTTGCATGATATGGGTTCTTTAATGTGCTTAAAACTGATAGCTTAGAACACTGAAGGAGCCTTTTACGCCTTCAACCAGCAGCATTTTACATAGCTACTGAGGCTAAGTATCTGTCCTGTTTTTGAAGACGCTGAAGGACAGACTGTGTGACCTGACTGCTGAGTATGAACGTGATGATGGACAAGATGAAGAGGGGAAGGGCAGAGCCACAACGCTGACTACATTGAACGATTCTCTGAATAACATAATTTCCTTTTGTCTTCGGAAGTGTCCAAGCCTTGACCAGGAGCAGAGGAAGGTAAGTTCACAGGTTGTCTGTTTGTCAGTGAGATTTCATTATCAGTTACTAAAGCTTTTGCTTTTCTTCACAGGACCTTTGGTTTATGCTTCTGGACACCATGATGGCTGCCCAAAAAGACCTAACAGGCCTCAAAGCAAAACACACTTGTGATGGTGCAGTACACACACATTCAGCATAGTTATTCCCTCGTTTTAAAGAAAACAGAAACTTCTGTCAGTAGTTTATGCTAATCCTGTGTTTTACTAAGATAATTATTTGTGGATCTTTTAGGGCTGAAGGAGATGACACTGAATGTATTCAACTGTATGAGCAGTTTTGTTTCTCTTCCTGCAATTGTTCAACAAATACTACAGGTGTGTATTTGTGGTTTTGGGCACACATCTTTTAGTCTAATTTACGTTCAGGTAAGTTCAAGTATTTCTATTAAGCAGTTTCACATTCTGGCCCAGATAATTTTAACCTGATCAGTGTCAGATACACAAAAAGTCCTGGTTGTATGCTAGCTGAAACACGCCCATGAAAAGCCATTGCTGCTCTTGGTATAAACAGGTATATAGGTGGTGCTGTGGAGACACTGGATCACATGCACCAACAATTTGCATACAGTTCAGTTAGGGGCTGCATTAATATCCATTTCTTTAAATTTGGTGCAGATTAGAAGATGCGCGTGGAATTTACAGCCAAACATACTTCCATGGTGTGTAGTCGGACCTCGCCATACCACCACAGCTCCACACCTTCATCAACACACTGAGTACTAGATGCTGTTGTACACCATCTTGTGTTCTGGAACTGGGCAGAGTCTCATTTTGATTAGATAAAAGAGGTCAAATCTTGACCTTTTAAAGACTAGCACTAGAATTCCTGCTATAAGAGGGCGTGGCTTTCGTGATGTAAGCAAATGAACATGTAAATGGCTTCAAGTCTGGTCTGTGATGACACCCATGAGGTTTGAGATTGGTCTGATCATGCATGTGGAGGTTATCAAACCAAGGAGTTTCGTGGCGACAGGTCCAAATTTGACGCTTAGATTTGGTGAGTTTTTGAACATGTTAAGGCCTCCAAAACGCCATTTAAGGTGGCGGAAGAATGAATAGAAAAAAACAGCAGGTGCATTAGGCCTTCGCTGCTCAGGCCTAATTAAAGCTGCAAACAGCATCAGTCGGCCCTTGTGCTGCAACTGCAGGCACTGTTGCACCAGTGTGTCATCACTAACCCTCACCATAGCGCCACATCAATGTCTTCCACAAACCTGGAGGTCAATTCTGCATGTGATTTTCAATAAAACACTCAGGAGGTGTCATCAATTTACCATATTGATGTAATGAACAGTCACCCACAGGGAAGAACACAAAATTAGACTTATTAGAGATATAGAAAATTCTGATGAGGTGCTGTTTCAAAATCCAACATAATCCCACGTAGCTGCTCTTGGGCTGACAAAAGATCATTTATATGCAGTTTGGTGTGAGTCATGCATGTGTTGTTTAGAGCCAACCATCTCTAAAGGGGTGGAGCCGAGTGTGGTTGAGTCGTTACCTTGGCTGTTGAAGTTAATCTAAGGGGTGTTGTCGCTAATTCAAATAAAATCCCATAGAGTCTCTTTTTGAAATAAATTCATGTCAAGTCCTAATTTGAATGAGCCATAAATGTGCATTGCCTTTGTGGATTAAGGCCTCTGAGGGATTTAATCACACAAAAACAACCAGATTATTTTTACAGATGAAATTATGAAACTCTTTACCAAAGCATATTATATTCACTCAAAAGAAATAAAATAGCTCTGTTTTAATGACAGTAGCCCATGAAAGATTGAATAACATAATCCCTGTGCATGTTCTGTAATGGAGGAACTCAAACATGTCCCGTTTGTGGAGTTCATTTCACTTTTACTTTGTTTTGGGATTGAGACACTAAGAAATAGCTTCTCTGTCTGTCTGGCCGTCCGAGAGGGGGAGGGGGGTTTGGAAAACTCTTTAGAATACAGATCTTTGAGCTGGGGGGTGGTTTGATTCCCCAGAACCCACAGATTATTATTTTGTGGTCTTTGCATAGACATCTAAGGGATTAGCGTCGGTCCAGATGCAAATCCACATCGGATCTTGTGGATGTTAAAACAAAGTTGAGGATCTGACTGGTAAACTGGCCCATCGAAGTGCCATACGGTTGTTCTGTAGCTTTAAAAATGGACAATGATCTGACAGTGTGTGTGTGTGTGTGTGTGCGTGCGTGTGTGTGTGTGTGTGCTGTCAAATAGACGTGTGCTGTAATGCCTATCTGCTCTGGACCGGTGTGGGCGCAGAGATCCCCGTCATAGGACCGAGCAGACTGCAGCAACGTCCAGCATCGCCCCACTGGGAGAACTTTCATTAGACAGCAGACAGGGATGACACGCCCACACTCACAATGGATGGTGACAGGCAGCTCCATCATCAACAAGCCTTAGGCTGTGTCTCAATTCAGGGTCTGCATCCTTCGAAGGACCCAGCCCACCCAGCCGACGTGGGCTGGGTCCTCCGTCGGCGGGGTAGACCGGATGTTAACGGCTGTGAATTTGGACAGGCCTAGCCTTCATGAACTCCCTCGGCGAACGTTCCGTCGCCTAGCAACCGTGGAACCGCTGGGCAGAAGTGAGAAGGAACTTTAAACGATGGAGCTCGACGTTTTATTTAGCTTTTTAACCCCCAGAAACCCAAATTTAGAAAACAACTGCAAAATCTTTTTTTAACCTTTCACATGTTGTTCTAGGAGGCCAGATAAACGGGCCTATTTACACATTTTAACAGCCAATAGTGTTGCAGAACTGAACAATAGGACCTATTAGCAATGTAAATGTGGTTTTAAAAAGAAAAAAAATGGGGAAGGTTTATTTTTGTAGACTTAAATCTGATGTTGTAATATTACAACCGTGGGTCTCTGGGGGTTAATCATTTCCTTGACTGTTGGAGAGCTAATTCAGAGAAAATACTTTAGACAAGCTGAGCCTGAGCAAAGATGTGATAATAGTTTTTAATACTTTCTAAGGGGTCTTAATTTGACCAAAACCGATTTATCACCTTTTAAGACTTTTCAAGACCCAGCAGATACCCTCTAGTAAACAATTCTCATTTGTAAACAAAAATAAAATCCAAGAGTTTAATGCAGAACTGATTTTATTTAGATATTTCTTTTATATGTACATGTTTAATCTTCCTTAACCATTTTTTCTAGCAAAGTAAAAAGCTGTCAAAGTTCTTCCTTCTCTCCTGTGCCCTCTGCTGCTCTGCCTCCCTCTGCAGCCTCTTGTCCTCCCTGATCAGCTCCAGAAGCTGGTCATCGCTGGCACCTTCCCCTGGATGCCCATTTTCTCCAGAATAGTCTTAACAAACATGGAAGAAAAGAAACAGGAAGAGAAAAGAGGACAACGGGTTATTCCTTTCATGTTTTCGCAGAAAAAAATAAACTCAAACGAGTTTTTTAAAATATGAGAAGTTATTGTACCTCCATGCCACAGCCGCCGAATACTTTGCTCCGGTGATCATGTGGTCCATCTCCGCCCTAAGCTTAATAAATTCCCTGGTTTTCTCTTTTGTTCCTAAAATACAAACTTCTATTAAAATCAGGGGGAAACGTAGCGGGAGAAGTACGACACCGAGCGCGGCCGAACATACGAGCCGAGACCGCAATACAAGCACTTTTACTGTAACATTTCTAACTAAAATAACGTTCATGTATCACCAAAAGTCCTTAACCTAACAGTTTTCAAGTTTATACTTACATTTATATGCGCAATCCTCTCCGACAGCTCCCGCTTCACTGTCCGCCATTGTTTTTAAGTTTTTCTGCCGGCCGGCCCGCAAGGTATCTTGGGAAATGCTACCTATTGAAGGATACACCGGACCCATCCTTCATTCAGGCGAAAAGAAGGCCGCATTCGTCGACCGCATTTGAAGGAGTCTTCCAATTGGGACAGGCCTAGTCGCGGCGCTGTGACGTAACCGGCCGACGAATCCGGCCGACGTAGGATGCAGACCCTGAATTGAGACACAGCCTAAGCCTCTCTGAAAGAGGAAATCAGCTTCTGAAAATCTGATGATGATCAACCGCTAACTGATAGCAGGTTCCAGCGGTCACCCTGCTACATTCAGGGGGGGTGTCCCAAACCCCCACCCCTTCTTGGAAAGCCAGACAGACAGAGCTTTTCCAGGGCTGAATTATTGTTCCTGCCCATCTAGTTCAGAAACAAGAGTAGCTATTCCCCAGTGTCTCAATCCCAAAACTGCAAATGGGACACGTTTGAGTTCTTCTAGCCCAGAGGTATTCCGGTCCTGGAGGTCCGGTATCCAGCACGTTTTAGGAGTTTCTCTGGTTCAACACACTTGAATCACCTATGCTGCAGCTCATCAGGCCCTGCACAAGCCTGTTAATCACCTGCTGATTGAAATCAGGTGTGTTGAAACAGTTGAAACTAAAACGTGCCAGATACCGGACCTCCAGGACTGGAATAGAATACCCCTGCAATGCCACAGAGCATCCTTAGCACCTCAGAGGGATTGTTTTATTTTGTTAAAGTTATGTTGTTCATTCAGAAAAACCGAGTCTTTTTCGCTTCGTTAACTCTTTGATGCAAACTTGAAATTTCACTTAACAAGTCAGTTGGTTAAAATGTTCAAAAGCATTAATTTTGCTAAACATACTTATGTATCTACCCTTGGTTGACAAAATAAAAGGTTTTCATGTTTCTGGTCTTGCCTGTATGCCGTCATCTCCTCTGTCTTTATGTCCGTCAGGATCCCGTTTATGGAAAAGGAAAACTGGCAGAGATTCAAGGCCTCATTCTGGGAATGCTGGATACGTTTACCTATGAACAGGTAAAGCGGTGCTTGATCTTTTATGTATACACATTCATTTATTGCACGTAGGCCACTGACTATGTTTTCATAGGCTAAAGCTGTTTCCTGCATATTTATGCGGTGTATCACAGTGGATGTGAAGTACTGCGACGGCCGTTACACACCTGCTGGAGTGGTTCATAACTGATTTAGTCAAAGAGAAAAGAAACTCAGTGTGTAAAACTGTCTAAGTAGAGCAGAAAGGCACAAGATGGTGGCATAGAAGTAAAGTTCTGATTCGATCATGAGCGAAATGCTTGTTTTAATGTATTTATGCGTTAAAGTTAGGAGTGGGTCTGAGTAGATTCACAGGTACCCTCCAGCACCGTGTGATTAAAGTACTTCATGGGCTAATTCTCCATTTTACATGAAGCGAGAAGACCTTCTGAGGTACAACATACAGGTTACAAACAGATGGGGCCAGATGGAGCTCAGGCAGTGGTGGCTTTCATGGTGGGGCTGGTGTTTGGAAAAGACAGTTGGAAAATCAAGAAGAAAGGTTCATTTATTTTTTCAAGACAAAATCAGACTCAGGGAAAGAGCTCCAGACCTTTGGTCTTTAGCCTGGTGCACTCCACAACCAGTAGGCTCTCATCACTGGACCTCAGGGACCTGCTGGGGGTGTAGGGACTGAGAAGATCACCTACGTAAGATGATGCTTGTCCCTGTGAGGCCCTGAAGACCAGAACCAGGATCATGAAATGAATTACAATGCAATGAGATTACAATTCTACAGTAATCATTTATTTTTCACATATAACCTTTACTTTTACATCTAATCTTAAGAAATGAGTAGGAGTTAAATGCTATTTTTGATTGATTGAACTATGCAAAATCAGCAAACTTTCAGTGCAAACAGTAAAATACACTTGAACAGCTGTGTTTAGAGTTACCAGTGCGGTATTGTACCACTATGCTATCTAAATAATAACAGGAGGACTACTGCCCTCGTGGCAGCTCCACAACAGAGCAACGGTTCAGTCTTCTCTGTGTTATAGACAGTCTCTCACACACTGCTCGTCTGAGCGAGCCACGATTTTTACTTTCACTTTCACTTTCCGAGCTGCTCCTTCCTTGATTTTTCCTCTGCAGTTTTTCAGATTTGAAAAAAAAAGTGTGGTCTAAATTCTCATATAAAAGAAAAGTGGAAAATAGACATTTCAAAGATGGATGGACAGAACAATTTACATTTATTCTTCCTCCATCCAGCACTAGACCCATGTGTTGGTTCAAGGTTTCCTGTTTGATACCTTGTGAGACCAATTCAATTCACTTCAATTCAAGTTTATTCATATAGCATCAAATCATGACAAGAGTCGTCTCAAGGCACTTCACATAATAAACATACAGGTCAGTTCATTAAGCCAATCAGAAAAAAGTTTCCTAAATAAGGAACCCAGCAAATTGCATCAAGTCACTGACTAGTGTCAGTGACTTTACAGCAATCCTCATACTAAGCAAGCATGCAGCGACAGTGGAGAGGAAAACTCCCTTTTAACAGGAAGAAACCTCCAAAGGATCCTGGCTCAGTATAAGCAGCCATCCGCCACGACTCACTGGGAATCGAGAAGACAGAACACACACACACACACACACACCAAGTAATGTTTCTATGGTTACATTGTGATTTCTTAGTAAAAATTCTATTTGGTGAGAGATACACTTTATATTATTTATCCTAGTGAATCTATAATTAAACGGATAAACTAGTAGTAGCACATTCAATGTCAAAGAAAGTAAAAAGTTATTATCAGGAGAGGGAGAATGTTTAAGTGGTTAGCAGCAGTGGGCTAGCCGATGGCCCCCTCCATGAGGCCACCACAGCTCAGCAGAGCATCGTTGTAGCTTCTTCTGGGGAGAAAAACACTTAGAGAAAAAATAAAGTTAACAGCTGAAATAGCAGGAAATAATACAGTTAAAGAGCAAATTGTAGAAGAACGTAGTTGAGTGTGGAAAGTGGTCAGTATGTCCTCCAGCAGTCTAAGCCTATAGCAGCATAACTACAGAGATAACTGCATAGCCTAGCCTTTTAGATGGAGGCATGTTGGAGGCAGGGCGAGAGAGAGCCGTCTTTACCGACTGTACACTCCACCTCCCTCTACTCCCCCACAAGTCCAGATCTAAGCTAACATCAGATTTTAACCATAGGCTCTATCAAATAAAAATGTTTTAAGCCTAGTCTTAAAAATAGACAAGGTGTCTGCCTCACGGACTAAAGGCACGGGGACTTTGAAGATGCATTTCCTCAAAAATCTGAGGGAAGAACAGCAAAATTAAACAACATCCTATAAAGCCACAAGCAGCATTTTAATTGTGCATATTAGCCTGCAAGCTGTTCCACCATCTTTCTAAAATGACGGCCTAATTAACGAGAGACTGCCTTTAAATTTGATGGCAAACCGTCCTGTTTTTTGTGGAACTAAACTAAAAATCTGATTATTGCTCAAATCATTCAGCAAACATGTTCAAGGCTGCACAAGTGGAAATACTCACCCCAGAACTGATGGCTGTTTCTACACACTGGCTGGAGCTGCAGCACAGCGCGTGGATGAAGACGGGCTAACGTCGGCCATACAGACCTGGTTTAAAGAGTCTGATGTTGAGCAGAAAAACTTTCTCAGTAAAATATTCTGAGCGCCAGTAAAGTACCTCTGTTAATAGCTCGTTAATGCAAACGACCTGAGATGCTGTTCGCTATGAACACATGATGAACATGCTATTAACACATGATGAACAAGTTATGAACACATGATGAGATGCCATGAACACATGATGAGCACGTTATGAACACATGAACATGCTATGAACACATGATGGACACTATGAACACATAATGAACATGTTATGAACACATGAACATGCTATGAACACATGATGGACACTGTGAACACATGATGAACATGTTATGAACACATGATGAACAAGTTATGAACACATGATGAGATGCCATGAACACATGATGAGCACGTTATGAACACATGAACATGCTATGAACACATGATGGACACTATGAACACATGATGAACATGCTATTAACACATGATGAACAAGTTATGAACACATGATGAGATGCCATGAACACATGATGAGCACGTTATGAACACATGAACATGCTATGAACACATGATGGACACTATAAACACATGATGAACATGTTATGAACACATGAACATGCTATGAACACATGATGGACACTATGAACACATGATGAACATGTTATGAACACATGATGAACATGTTATGAACACATGATGGACACGTTAAGAACACATGATGAACACGCTATGAACATATGAACACTTGATGAACATGCAATGAACACATGATGAACACGCTATGATGAGATGCCATGAACACATGATGAGCACGTTATGAACACATGAACATGCTATAAACACATGATGGACACTATGAACACATGATGACCACGTTATGAACACATGATGAACATGTTATGAACACATGATGAACACGTTATGAACACATGATGAACACGCTATGAACATTTGATGACCACGTTACGAACACATGATGAACATGCTATGAACACATGATGAACACGTTATGAACACATGATGAACATGCTATGAACACTGAACACATGATGCACATGTCATGAACACATGATTAACACGCTAGGAACACATGATGATGTTCCAGCTGATTGTCCCATTTTAATAATACTAAGCCACAATAGAGCTCAGTAATAAAACAGGAGTCTGACCCCCCCATGTCATGAATAACACGCTGTTTTGAAATAGCTGGTATTTTTATATTTAAGGACACTAAACTTATCACGTGTTACATTTATCTCTGTTGACATTCACTTTTTCATAATGCAGCCAAACTGTTTCCAGTTTTTTCTCAGTCTGCAAGCTCAAACAGATGTTGTAGACAAAAGGCAGGGCTTGATGTTCACACAAATATATGTGTAGAAGAGACTTGTCTTTGTCTGTTTTAGACTTTACTTGAAACCACCACCAGTCTGCTAAACCATGACCTCCATTGGTCATTGGCTCACCTACACTTTGCTACCACTAGAGGGCTCCACCCACGACAGGACTACTGCAGCATCTGCATGCAGCAGTACAAGAGGAGGCATGATACGCCTGAGGAGATCCTTCTGTTCAGGTATCTCATACTGGAAGCTCAGCTACTCACTCACGCTTTCCTTTGACCAGCTGATCCAGTAAATCTCACTGGCACCAACTGCTGATCTGTATTTAAGTACACATGAGAAAATAATCACCACTACCCTCAAAGGGCCTGTATCATACTATTTCACACCTTCCAGAGCAACAGTACACACAGTATATATGGCACTATTGAGATGGCATTATTTATGGAATATAAGTTATTTTCCTGAACTATTCCTTCAACCTGGAAATGAGACGCTTGGGTTAGATGAAACACTCCCTCCCACCCATGTCATGACACGCTGGCAGCGGAAAATGATTTATCAGGAGCACCAGGACATTTCTCCATGGCCTTCATGTCCCACTTAGCAATTGCAGAGTGCCAAGCTGGTAACACACACACATACACACACACACACACACACACACACACACACACACACACACACACACGCACACACACACACCACTTGGATGGAGAAAAGGCAGCTGGGATGAAACAGGCCCAGTCTGTCCCTGAAGCTCACCCACCAACCACTGGACCTGCACTCGTGAATAACAACCCAAGTTGCTTTGTTCCAGTCACTTGACCCTGTGTTGTCTTTGCACCGGACTGTAGCTATGCTGTCTTGTGTAAATTGGTCGTTTCTCTAATTATTGTTGCTCTATAAGATTGTTTTATTGTGCTTATTTCTTATTCTTGCACCAAGAACTTCAGCAATTTCTTAATGTTATGAACCTGCTCACACATATGGCAAAAAAATCCTTCTGAAACTTTATACCCACTCAGCTAACAGCTAACCATTAGCAGTTTAGTTTTACTCACCACCCTGGGCTATCCATCAGGTGGTTTTAAAAAGAACCCAGGTTACAAAACTTTGTGGTTCTTAAAAAATAAATGTTAGTATCAGTTATATTTAAATGGTGTAAAAAACTTTCTTGATGTCTTCATTTTTATAAAATTTGTAAAAAAAAAAAAAAAAAAAAAGTTTAATTCATAGGTCGCCATTGTTGTTAGCCTCGCACTGCACTCTGAGTAATGACATCATATGGTTGTACCTCGGTTGCACCGGCCGGCTTTGGGACCCTGTAGTAACTGTTCAGCGACATCAACATGTCATCTGTTCAGCCTTTTCCATTTGAACCAGAGCGAAACATTAATGAGGACATCGCTGACTATGTTTCACAAAACGAGCATCAAAATGAAGAGCAAGAAGGGCGGATGAAGCGAGTGCAGGAATAAGCCGGTGGTGCGTGTGCAAATGCGTCTCCATGGTAACCGAGAGGGAGAGTGCTCACATTTTTGTCAGCAGAAGTTAACGGTAAGCTATCGTGTGATTAAACTTATTCAATGATGAATGATTTAGGAGAACTTTAGCATCCAGAGCTGTCGTGTGCTTTATAGATGATTAGGATATTCAGTGAAACGACTTAAATCATTTTTACAGATATTAGATATTTGGAGAACACTGTACTGCTACACTTACTGTTTGTTTTACTGACGGGAGAGGTGAATGTTCAGCTTCATCCATGACGAGTGGCGTGCCCGATGGTTCGCTTCGACAGAAGCGGCAGCTGCAGGAGCCGGTTGTCGGCTCAGGAGAGCGTCCAGCGTCTCTTGTCTCTCTGAGGGTGTTTAGGCTTTTTGTGTGGGAAAATGGTCAGTAAAGCATTTAGTTTCCACCTTCTCTTATACCCAGCTGCTCTGGTGAGCTCTTTAAGTAGTTGTGGTCGACTGTAAGCCTCAAACGCATCAGGAAGTTGTGTCCGTCCACAGGCATCTTCCCACTGCTTTCTCCTCTTCTTGCCAGTGGGAAAGCTGTGTAAACTCACATCACTCCCCTTGTTTCCCTCTGACTGGAAATTACATCCAAAAGCAGCACAATGCAGCATTTTACTTCATTATTAATATGGTGAGCGAGTAAACAAACACTAGCGCCAATAGCTATTCTTCCAAGTGCAACCAATATACGTCATCGCCCCCAGAGTGCATTGCGTGTGAAAACATGGCGTCCTACGTATGTCAAAAAAATGTACTAAATATAGATTTATAAATAAACAGCAATATGTTGTGTGTTTCTAACAACATAGTTTGGTACAACAGAAAACCTGTGGCTTATTAGGGCATACACGTCCTCATAGCCAGAGTTCCTTTTAACGTTGAAATGGGGCTGGTTTAAATAAGTAATGCGTCTGAAACGCCATGCCAGTGCTGGTGGTTGTTTATCAAGCAGTCTGTGAAATCTTGGTCACTTTCTGGCTTGATTTTTGAGAGCTCCTGAAGATGAAATCCAACCATTCCTGCAGATTAAAGTCTTAAAGAAAGACTGGACAGAGGTACCTCTTGCAGGAAAAAAATCCATTTTGGGGTTTTAGACAATATTTAAAGTGCAGACTAAATAAGAAATAAATAACTTGTTCACCACTGTGGAGATTAAACTCCCAGCTAGCAACACAGACAGACTGGGTACTTACAGTCCAGCGGAGGAAGGATCTGAACTCCAGACTTCCTGGGTGAGGAGGAGGGGGTCGTGATGACACAAACATGCCCCATGTAAGCTTTTGCAATAGCTTAGCAGAGCGTTAAGCCAAGAACAGGTTTGGGGTGTTTTTTCATGAGGAAATTACTAAAAAATACATGCTCCAAAAAGTGTATTTTGCATGATATAGGACCTTTAAGAAAGTAAGTCTTTTGATTGTTATGATTGTTGCTTGTGGTTTTACCACTTTCTAAATAAATATTAGCACTTCTCATTCTAACTCTTTCATTTCTTCACCCCTCTCTGGTAAACTTCAGTATTTGCCTGACAGACATGTATTTGTTCCCAGTTGTGGCCACCTGTATCACTTGCAGTGCCTGCAGCAGAAAGACTGTGGAAGGGCCCCTGTTTCAGACGTACAGCCACAGTGGAGGTGCTACAAGTGTTACTACAGCCATGGAGGTAGAGGTCCTTTTACAGAAGCAAACAGAAGCCGCAGTGCATCTTTGGCTCAGGTTGGTGTATTTACAGTCTATTTAATTCAATAACAGTAGAGATGAAAAGAATTTGGTCAACAAAAAAAGTTCCCCTAAAGGAGTAAGGAATAGATGAGATTATTCCTTTATTGTTCCTCAGTGAGGACATGTTTTAGTAAAGCAGCAAGAACATTCACATTAAAGGGACTTTACGGAATGTTGAATTTTTATGCTCGCGATTGCCCCCTCAGGCCAAAAGCGTAACGGCAGCTTCAATAGTAGGCCCGTGCACGAGGCGCGCATGCTGTACGTGCACGAGGCGTTCATGCTGTACGTGGACACTCCTTAACGAAAATAACAGCTGAGACAGTCCAGTGTGTGTGTGTGTGTGTGTGTGTGTGTGTGTGTGTGTGTGTGTGTGTGTGTGTGTGTGTGTGTGTGTGTGTGTGTGTGTGTGGCCCGGAGGACAGAGGACAGGAGAACGCGCAGCTAATTAATTAAATAATTTGGTTCTGTACCTTTCTCTTCAGCACAGCCGACAAAGGTTTATGATGGGTCACCCCAAAATTCCACTATCTCCGCTTCGGCACGACCTCCGCAGCAAAAATGGTCCCGTTGTAGTCAATCAGAGCTGTTCCACTACTGCGGCCGTGCGGCGCAGTGCGCCGCCCGCCGTTCCGCCATTCGGCAAAAATAGGATCAAATCTGTTTTTGCCGGGTGCCGGAGCACCTCTGCAGTCAATGGACAGAAATCACAACTGCCCAACAGGAAAAGGAGCAAGCACAGCTTCCGTTATTTCACAATAAATCGATAAACAAAAAGTGTTTTTTGTTTCATATGCACAGGTTTAACAAATTTTAACAACTATCAATGGTGGATGAACTTTAAATGCACAAAAACAAGCCATAAATACAGTTTCTACTATCAAAGTACTCACCCTTTGTTGATCCAAACACTGCTGATCTCTCAACACAAATGATGGGCAGATTAAACAGTTCATGCCGATGCTTCTCCCACACAACGGGTGTTTGGATCTAACTTCCGCATTTATTGCTCGGACTGTATCGCAAGATCTCGAAAATAAGTTCACCGGAACTGAGCCGTTGTAGAGCAGGTACAGTATAATTTGAGTTCGGAAGCGAGCGGCAGCGGAAAGCGGGGGCGGAACGGAAATAGTGGAATTTTGGGGTCAGTCTTCCTGCATGCTCAGATCATTCCCTTCCCTTGCTTGAAAAATTGGTCCAAAATGAAAGTTGAACCCACATCTTTTTTATCTGTAAATTCAATGCCATTCGGCGAGTCTCAAATAAAAATTTGGGCATCTTACTGTAAAAAAATATATCATTAATGTAAAACAGAAACTCTAAATAAACTATGTTCACATCCAGAATTGAACCCAGATCTTCTGCACGAGAATCCAACGTCTTACTAGATGAGCTAAAGCACCAGTGACAACTTTCGTATCTGTAACATTTATATCCTTGATGACAGCTGAAACAACGTCAAACTAAAGAATGGTTCGGAGCAAAAATGGCTATTTTGTTGCTAATTTGCAGGAAATATCTAGAAGAAAGTTCTACAGAATGTAGCTAAGGGTCCTCAGAAATGTAGCTAGGTTCATCACTAGGTGTTAGGAGCACTACCTCTCTCTCTGCTGCTAAAGCTACGGATAGCAAATGCTACGGGCGATGCCTGAGCATGAACGCGCATGAAGCAGCCTGCTCGACCCGAGCAACTCTCTTTTTCTGTGATTTTACAGAAAAACAGGCAATCACAGTAAAAATGCCAGGGCTCATTCTACAGAACCAGGGCATTGCAGGAGAATGTATGAAGAAGAAATTTATTATTTCTATACAAGTTTTGGCTGTCAAACTTCCATAACGTCCCTTTAAGAACCAATAGTGAAGAATAAACGGCTGTACAGCGAACTAAATATAAACATAGTTGCAAAAAGTACCTAAACAATGAAATAGAGTTAATTTACTGCATTTAAAAATACTGCCAGAATATTTTCATGGAGTGACAACATGAATGGAAAACTGCAAATGAGATATGACTGAGTGCAGATAAAATGACAACATAACTGCCAATAATCAACAGCAGCAAGAAGGCAAAAACTGTTTGCTGGTTTTGTTGGGAACAGTGGTGGTTATATCTAACAGCTGCTGGGAGCGGAGTTCGCTGTAAGGGGGAGCTAAGGGTGATGGGTTACAGTGTTGGGAGTAATGCGGTACAAAAGTAATTAATTACTGTAATGCATTGCTTTTTGCTGTAATGTGGTAATGTAAGGCATTACAGGGAAGGAAAATGGTAATATTTACTCGGTACAATTGTCAGTAGCGCGGTAATTACAACACATTTTTAAACCCAGAATCAAGATGTGTTCCTTAAAAATTCAAATTGCGGGAAACCCGAAGACAGATCCAGTATCTGCATATATTACGTCATTTATGGACTCAGCTTTGTGGGCAGAGAGGACGCAGCGGTACCGGCTCAAATACTCCAGCTGCGTCCTCCACGCGGCCTCTGTAACATTCACAAAATCGCTCCAATAATACAAAATAATTCACTTGCGATCGTTCATATCGGCGCATATTTTCTGGTATTTTGTGCTTTTCTGACGTGCTTTGCCTCAACTGAGTTCATAATCTGTGCCCCGGTGACTTCAACTCATTACTGCTGGAGCGCCGCGCATGTGAAGATCCCTTTGGCTGATCATTAGAAAGTAGGAAGTCTAGGAAACAGTTTTTCTGGAAGACAGAGAAAACATGCAGCATGCAGGAAGGTTAGAGAGAGAAAGGGCAGGAAATTATTCAAATAAAATCAAGAAAACAAAACAAAGTGCTTGAAAAGAAAAAAGTAGGTAGATTTTTCCCCAATACACATTTTTACCAGTGAAAAGCAATAATATATAAGCATTTAATATTTATACATGTGATAGAATCAGATCACCCCAGAAGTCAGTCCCACATCCAGGGCCGTATCAAGGCATTTGGGGACCAAGGGAAATATAGGCTCGGAGCCCCCACCACCTCACTCCTTGCTCAGATGGCCCTATAAGATGGCAGCGTGCTGAGAGTACAGATTGTTGTTGCTTTTATTTAATAAACAATCATTTTAAAGCACTGTTATTATATCTGACTGTTTTTAACAGCAATCCTAGCTCAGACACCACATCACTTTCCACATATATGTCATGAGCTCACTGAGCGTCACATTACCAGATCCATATTGAAGTTGTATTGGTGAAAGTAACTTAAAGTAATGCAAAAGTAGTGTAATGCCTTACATTTTAAAATCAGTAATATTGTAAAGTAATGAATTACTTTAAAATGAGAGTAACAAGTAATAAATAATGCAATACAGTTTTGAAGTAACTTGCCCAACACTGATGGGTTACAGTAAGTATACAAAAAATATGCTCTATTATGCAATGTGAGAATTTATGGATGGTTCTAATGGGAGACAGGCTTCAAGTCCAGTGGTTGTTTTCCATTTGGGCCTAGTGCTCAACCATTGTCTATTTAATGTAGCGTAATATTGTATCTGGACAGTAAAAAGTGTAGAGGAAAAATTCATTTTGGAGAAAGACTACATCTATGTCCCTACATATAATATATGAGATTTGAGATTGAGGAAAAAAACTTGGAAAAGAGTATGGATATGTTTTCAATGAGATGTTGATATTAGTGGAAAATATACATAAATAGATCTAAAGATGTAACAGGTACTTTTACTGCCATTCTGTTGTGGGAAGTCAGCACAAATATTCAATGAAATCTTTGAAAAGCTCCTTAAACCTTCCTTTTTTTATGGTGGGCCAGTTTATATTCATAAAATCAGTTGATTGTTTAAAATAACTAGCTAAAGTCACTCAGAGCCCGAGTTAAGCTGTGGTCACTGGAAAGGAACTGAGAAATAGTATTAAAGCTTTTGCTGTTTGTTTGTATAAAAAGAATACAAATAGAAAATATAAGACACGAACTATATAGTAATAATTTTATGTATATTTGAGATGTTCGAGATAAAAGGCAGAATATATTTTTTTTACATTTCATGTCCCACATCTGGTGAGTTGGGATCTGGTCACCCTACTTATGAATGATTACAGTAATTTGGAATATAATCTCTGAATACGGAGATGTAATTTACCAGAACTCCATGGTTGTATGTCTTCAATCTCCTAACGTTTTTTAATAGCTTATGTCGTTTTGTTTTACGCTGTCCTTTTAGAACACACCACTGTCAAATGTATGAACGATTTTCATGGCTTTCCCTAAAGGCCAGGCGTCAATTTCATTGGTTGTTACTTATTTTTAAATGCATCTATTTTGATGTTCCATCTTATTTGAAAATGTTGTTAGTAGTGGTTAATGCAGAGAGTTTCTCTATTTTTCCAATTCATGAGGATAGTTTTCTTAGCGATGCATATGGCAGTCAGAACCACGTGAACCACAGATGTTTCAATCGGGACATCGTCCAGGTTTCCCAGTAAACAAAGAGAGGGGGTGATTGGGATATGACATTTCAGAGACTTTGACAGGTCTTCACATACTCTACCCTAAAATTCCTGGACAGGTGGGCAGGACCACAGTGCATGAATGTAATTGTCAGGAACGTTGTTTGTGCAGTGTGTACAGGTGTCAGATGACACAAACCCCATCTTGAACATCCGATGACCTGTATAGTGTACTCTGTGTAGAATTTTGTACTGAATTAATTGTAAATTGGAGTGTCTGATCATTTTAAAAGTTTTTAAACAAGTTTGGGACCAGAAGTTCTGGTCAAAGCTGACTGATAGATCCACCTCCCATTTTTCAACAGGGATTACTATTCTATCGTCTATTTTGGACAGTGTCTTATATACTTTAGACAGTAGTTTGGGGGGTTTGAGATTATAGAAGTCTAATACCCTTGGTGGTGTTTGTAATTCTATTTTATTGAGCTTAAATTTTTGTTTTACTACAGATTTAATTTGGTGATATTCTAAAAAGCTATTCTTATCTATTCCAAATTGGGAGACTATTCTATTA